TTCTGATGTGCTCAGATGCCCCTGCTCCCCAGGCCACGCTTTGAGTCGTGAGAGTACAGAGGGGAGGCTCTCAAAGTGTGGCCCCCAGACCAGCAGCAGTGCCTGGAAACCTGTGAGGAAAGCCCAGTCCCAGGCACCGCCCCGCCCTCCCGAATCTGGAATTCTGGGTCAGGGCCAGCAATTGTGTCTCCCCAGCCGTCTGCCGGGCACTGCCGAGAGCAGAACTGGTTCTCAATCTCGGTGCTCAACCCCATCACCCGGGAAGCTTAAAAAATCTTTCTATCTGGGTCCCACCCTCCGTCCAAAATCCTAATTTAATAGGAAATGAGGCTTTTTTTTTTTTTTAATGACGTGCTCCAGGCAATCTGAATGTCTCGTCAGAGTGGAGGATCCTTGATCCAGAGGGTGCTGGGCCTCTGGGAGCATCACCGTGTCCCAGACATACCCAGGCAGGCCTAATTCCTCTGCATTCCTGCCTAGGCCTCTCGCTGGCTGCCTTCTTATATTTGGTTATTTTTCCCTCCCTCCCCAAACACAACAATTCAAAATATTCCCAGCTCCCAGACAATAAACAAAGCTGAGGAGGCAAGCTCCCTGACTGTTTTGTTCCCACTTATGGCCTGATCCAAGACTGGCTTGATTGGGCCCTCAGGACTGGTCATCTGAGCCAGACAGGGTGGGCCCCTGGCATGCCAGCCGCCCCAGCTCCACTCCTGGAATCCCAGAATCCGTCAGCTCTAGGTGACCCCAGGCGCCCTCCGTGGCCACTTCTCCGGGGAAATGGAGGCTCAGAAAGGACAAGTGATTTGTCCCAGGACACACAGCAGTGCCGAGAAGGCCCCTCTTCTCTGTGATTTCTGGCTGTAGGGCAGATGTGTGGGCTCTAGGGGTCAGAGAGACGTGTGTTCGGTTCTAGGCTCTGCCCCTTACCAGCTGTGACCTTAGGCAAGGGACCAGTCCCTAACTGAACCTCAGTTTGTCCATCTGTAAAATGAGGATGGCACTAGAGCCCCTTCCAGGGCTACTGTGAAGGTCAGGGCTTGTACAAGGTGCGTCCTTATAATGATTTCATCATTCTGATTCTTTTTGCCAAGTTGGCAAAGCCAGCTGGCATGAGCAAGTGAGAAGCCCATGTGGAGGACGGTGGGAAAGGGAGATATAGGAGGTTATCTGTCAGATCTTAGATGCCTGACCTGGGGTAGGAGGCTCGTTTTAGAGGACGGGAAGGGAAGAGACAGGTCTAGGTCTAGATTGCCAAGGGGGATCCTAGCCAGGCCCTGGGGTAGGAGAGAAGCCAATGCCCTTCTTGTGCAAGTGGGGGAACCGAGGCAGTGAGGGCGGAGGTGGCTGCCACATGGGCCCTGAACCTGGTCTCCAGGGGTGTTATCATCGCTTGTGCTTAGACGCTATTTGCTATTTTTAAGCCTGGTCTTCTCCACTTGTGTATAGAAAGCCTTGGGCCCAGCACATTCCTTAATTTGACAAATGCATTGTCCTCTATGGGTCGGCAGTTGAGAAAACAGAGATGACACCAGGCCATTCCTCACACTGGTGGGGCTGCCCCCAGGCTTCAAAGAGACCCACATGTATCTGTCTTGATATTGACAAATTACACATCAAGCAACTGCGCTCTTAACTAGAAGCTATCCTGGTCTCTCACCTTGGCAGGTGTATTTTCATGGCGACCCAGGGGCCAGGTTTGAATGAAAATTTCTCAGTCTCCTTGGAGTTCTATACCTCAAGTGGGGGCAGGGGAGAACCCATCCTCTGCCTGTGGCCATGGCTGGTAGCCCCCCTCACCCCTCTCCTGCCACCCCTGGCTCTGCCCTCACCCTTGAGCAGCTTGGCACACTCACCTATATGGACAACCCGGACTCCCATTCCACCTCAGCCACACCTGCACTCCCTCGCGGAGCCCCGCTTGTCCACCCTCGGGCCTGGTGCACACCGTGGACCTCTCCGCCCTCAAGTGGATGGATGGGGGAGGGGCTGACACTGGAGCACTCGGGGCTGGGGTACTGTAGCGTGCCGGCTCCGTACGTACACCTCCCTTTGACCCTGCAGAACCCTCATTCTGGGGGAAGGTGTGCAGCAGGGGAGGGTCCCAGAGAGGTCCTCTGAGGTGTGTGCCCCTCTGTCTGGGGCAGTAACAGTATGGCCTGCACACAGTTGATGGGAAGATGAAATGGGTTAATGCAGGAACAGGACTTGCTCATGAAGAGGCACAATTAGCATTATGGCTGGTGATGTTGAAAACTCCCATGGCAGTTGAGGTTTGGCAGAGAAACCAGGAGCTTGCAGCCTGGCAGATGGAGAAAATCAGTGTTTATTGAGCTTCTGCCATGTGCCAGGCACTGAGTCAAATGCTCACAGACATGACCTCAGAGGAAGGGACCCATTTCACAGATGAGGAAACTGAGGCTCAGAGATAATGAGCCGCCCACCCAAGGCCACACAGTGGAGCTGGGATTTGAACTCAAGTATATCAGATTCTACGTTCTAAGCCTTGCTCCTTCACAGGGGCCATAGCAGGCAATGGAAGCTAAGAGATGAAGAGAGAGAAGCAGAGGGAGAGGGAAGAGGGTGGCCACCTGGTCAGACGAGGGGGAAAGAGATGCCTGGTTTGGGGATGGGCCCCATGACCTCCATTGTTTAGCATGTGACTGTATGTAACAGGACAAGGACGGCTGCCTGCATCGACCCTGATTTTCAATACGGACAGTCTAATGAAGCAAGAAGTAAAAAAATCTTGTGATCATCACGTGAATTATAACCCTCGGTGTGAGCCAAGTTTTGCTCAGGTCCAACTGCCTTGAAGCATAGTAATAATTCTGCATGGCCTTCACTTGGCTACAACTGCTATGGGATTAGGACACACAGGCTGAGTCTGTTTGCTTGGCCTTCAGAGCTTATTGCCCCTACTCTGCGTCCCTGTGCTTGGTCCATGGCCACCCGAGTATGACCCAGGACTGCTGGATGGGACCAAGAAGTCTCTCACATGTAATTTCCTGGAAAGCACATAGGAGTTCGGTTCAAATCCAACCTTGGCCACCAACACTGTGTGACCTTGGACAAATCACTGAAGCTCTCTGGGCCTCAGTTTCCTCAAACATAAGAGGAGGATGGGCTTGGTGGGGGATGGCCACCCCTGAAATTCTAATCATTGGACACATCTCAGGATGAGACATTTTCGGGTAATAAGGGAGTTTTCTCTCTTCAATTCTCATTTCCTCCCTCTGATACATGGAGACGTCTCTGCTGGGGGCTTGTGTGTCTTCAATGCCCTTTGTCAACTGTTTGTCTTCTTTTCCAACAAAGACATCCCCAGATCAGAGCCGTCAGGCAACTTCCTCCAGCTAGATTAGCCAGTTTTCATTGTCTTTACTTTTAAAGCACCTACTATTTATGGAAAGGATCATGGTCTTCCATTTCTAGCAGCGATGGGAGATTTACTTTTCAGCAAAATGTGTGCTTTTTAGCAAAATGTGTTGTTTAAAAACGAGTCTGTTTGAAGGAAAAAAATTAAATGAGTAATGCTTTAGGAGGTATATTAGTTTCCTAAGGTTGCCGTAACAAAGTACCACAAACTGGATGGCTTAAAAACCACTAAAATGTTTTCTTTCACCTTTCTGGAGGCCAGAAGTCTGAGATCAAGGTGTCAGCAGGGCTGTGCTCCCTCTGAGGCTCTGGGCAGAAACCTTCCTTGCCACTTCCTAGCTTCCGGTTGTTCCTATCAATCTTTGCCGTTTCTTGGTTTGCTGCTGTATTTCTCCCATCTCTGCTTCGGGGGTCACCTGGCCTTCTTTCCATGTGTCTCTGAGTTCACATGGCCACCCTCCTCTGCAGCCAAATATCCCTCTTCTTCTTCTTTTTTTTTTTTTTTTTTGAATGTATTTATTTAGCCTGCACCGGGTCTTAGTTGCAGCATGCAGGCTTCTTAGTTGTGGCGTGCGGGACCTTTAGTTGTGGCATGCGTGTGGGACCTAGTTCCTTGACCAGGTATGGAACTGGGCCCCCTGCATTGGGAGTGTGGAGTCTTACCCACTGGACCACCAGGGAAGTCCCCAAATTTCCCTCTTCTTATAAGGACCCTGGTCACATTGGATAAAGGCCACCCTAATGTCCTCATCTTAAACTTGATGACATCTGCACAGACTCTACTTCTGAATAAGGTACTGGGGGTTAGGATTTCAACATATCTTTTTTGGGGACTCAGTTCAACCCATAAGTGAGTTGTAGCAAAAGAAAAACTTGTACAGGGAGACCTACTTGACAAAGATTTGGGGAACTCTGCCCAGGACATAGGAGCACAGGAAAGGGAGCCAGGGGGCCAGGGTCCTGCCCCAGCCCTGCCCTCGTGACTGGGGGCACCTTGGGCAATCCCATCATACCTCTCTGAGCCTCGGTTCCCTGGGGTTTTCAAACTGGGTTCCTCAGAGTCTCAAGGGGACCTAGGGAGGGTTGGTGGCAAAGGTCAAAGGGGGCAGGACCCCAGATCCCCTACATCACCATCACTTGCCTCCAACCATTACAGGGACAGTGGCAAAATATTCTGTTTGACAAAAAGCCACCAAAATAACTTAAAAACACTTAAAACCCATTGGGTTATCGGATTGTGGGACGCCTCCCAGCCCGACACATGCTGATTTGATTTGATTTGATTTTTTATAAATTTATTTATTTACTTATTTTTGGCTGCGTTGGGTCTTCGTTGCTGCGCGCGGGCTTTCTCTAGTTGCGGAGAGCGGGGGCTACTCTTTGTTGCAGTGAGCGGGCTTCTCATTGTGGTGGCTTCTCTTGTTGCGGAGCACAGGCTCTAGGCACGTGGGCTTCGGTAGTTGTGGCACGTGGGCTCACTAGTTGCGGTTCACAGGCTCTAGGGCGCAGGCTCAGTAGTTGTGGTGCACGGGCTTAGTTGCTCTGCGGCATGTGGGATCTTCCCGGACCAGGACTCAAACCCGTGTCCCCTGCGTTGGCAGGCGGATTCTTAACCACTGTGTCACCAGGGAAGTCCCCACGTGTTGATTTTAATTTATTTCCCTCCCCTGGCCTTGCTGCTCCCTTTTCTCTGGGAAGAAAGAGCCTCTTTGCACAGATTTCGCCCTCAGGAAGGTCCTGGTCTCAAATCTCCCCCCTGAACCCCACCAAAGAAGAACCCAAGGAGGCAGCTCGCCCTTGCTCCAGCCCACCCGGGACACTTCCGTTCCCTTAACTTGCTGTTGAGTGTCTTCCTGCCTTGAGGAGTTGGTGCCCACTGTCCCCTCTGCTGGGAACCTTCTTCCTCCCCTTTCTTACCCAGTCAGTTTGCTCAAGCTTGGTCCCGCCCTCGGAGAAGTATTCCCTGACCCTCCTAAACCAGCGAAGCCCCTTCCCTGTTTTATAATCTCTAGAATATGGTTCATCCCTGCCTAGGCATCAGACTCACCTTGGAAGCGTTTTTTAAATGCTGTTCCCGGGGACCCACTTCCTGAAACTTGATTCCTTTGGTCTGGTGTCAGGTGCGAGAATCTGCATTTTAACCTGCTCCCCACCTCATTCTAACATGCAGCCAGGACTGAGAACTGCTGAGGAATAATTACGATGATCTGAAGGACCCCTTATCTGTGCTTCTCACAGCCATCAATTTGTTGAAAAATGAAATTGAGAAAAAAAAAAACTGATTTAGTGGGAAAACTTGAAATTCTATGAAGCTATCTGGAAACTTGAGCCCAGGTGCCTTGAATAGTCAAGCTCCACCGTAGAAAAATCAGTCTGATGGATGGGGGCTGCTCCAGCCCCAAGGGGTGACGTGTACTATATGGTATAGGCATCACATCGCTTTTCTAATCCCCAGTCACACTGGGACTCGGGCCTTGGAGAGAGGACTGAGGGCCCTAGGCTATAGGTGGCGACGGCTACCATTTCTGGACAATGTTGCATCTGCCCAGCCCAGAGTGAAGCACTTTATGTGCTTGTCTTCCTGAATCTTTGTCACCTTCCTGTGAGGAAAGCATCATCTTCAATCCCATTTTACAGAGGAGGAAACCGAGGCCCAGAGAGAGCAGTAGCTTGCCCAAGGCCTGACCCTTACTGGGAAGCAGGAAGGCTGGGCTCTACACAGGCAGACCCCAGAGCCTCATTTTTCTCAGGCTTGGCCCTTAGGACACCCACAGGGGAAACACCAAGGGCTCTTGTCAGTGGCACCTGTGTGCCCTGCTAGTCTGGGCAGGAACCATTGCCGGTCATCAGATGCCTGGGCCTGGCACATGCTGGCTACTCAGATTCCCAGTGGGCTGGGCCAGCAAGGCTGGAGCCAGGCAGTCGGGTGGGGAGGCCACTGTGCTCCCCTCCCTTGGAGGGAGGCCTGCACTTGGAGCGGTGCCCTGCTGCTTTGGCCACCCTTCAAACCTCAGGACGGATTTAGTGTCCTTAATCCTCCTCTTGAGTCAAGCGCCTGCTTGTCACCGGCCTGCCTGGGACCCCTCTGAACAGCCTCTTCGGTGAGGCCTGCCTTTCCGAGCTCAAAGGCCCACAGGTCTGTGTCTGTGGGAGGGTCAGTGGGCTGGAGTCCACCCGGCTGTTTTGTCACTACGAGCCTCCTTTGTAAAATGAAGACTGTCTCCGCAGCAGATCGGCAGATGACCTTGATGCCGTGTAGTCCTCCCCATTAAGAGGTGGGGTCTGCTGCTACCGCCATGATTCGGGGCTGCCCTGTGACTTGCTCAGGCTAATAGAATGCAGTGGGGGTGACGATGTGCCGGTTTCAAGTCTGGGCCATGAGAGGCCTTGCAGCTTCTGCTCTTGCTGGCTCAGAACCTTTCCCCTGCCACATAAAAAAGCCCAGCTAGCCCACTGGCAGATGAGAGACCATGTGGAGAAGCCCACCAGCTTACCATAGACTCAGGCCAACAGAGAACCACCCAGCTGAGCCAAGCCCAAATTGCTAACCCATGAAATTGTGAGCCAAATAAGTCGCTACTATTTTAAGCCACTTAGTTTCCAGATGTTTGCTACGCAGCTAGAGCTAACTAATACCTCCTCTTCCAATCCTCTTTGGCTGGGGAGGAGTAAGGAACACTTTGGACAGTGCCTGCCACAGAGAGGATGCCCACTAAGTGCTGGTCTTCTCCTGCTCTTGCGTCAAAGGTGAAAGAAAGAAGGTGAGGCCTCTTGTGGGGTTGGTGATTTTTACCACCAATTTTATCTCACCTGAGATTAGTTCCCTTCTCCATGTCTTAGTTATAGAGGGTCTCCTGTTGGTGGCTTGGGGTTAGGTACCCTTCATGCCCTCCTTGACTAGTGTTTTAGATCCCAGGGAATCCATGGGAACACCCAAGAGAGAGCATGTTGAGAGAGAAGGGAACCCCAGCCTTGAAGGAGTGGACCTCAGAAGAGGAGATCATAAAGGGGCCTGAAGACGAGTGGGGGCGATTGAGGGAAGAGGGCATGTCCTGGGAGCCCAGGGAAGAGCATGGGAATCATGAAGGAGGAGGAGGGGTTAACCGAGTCAGTGGAAGAGGATTGACAGTGACAACTGGATGTGTCCACCTGGAGGCCAGCCATCAATGGCCCTGGAGATGGGATTCTGTGGAGTGCAGGGGATGGAAGTCTGAGCACAGTGGCTCAGGGAGTGAGCTGGTGAGCAAGGGAAGGCATGCAGTGTGGACGTATTATGTTCCCCAATATTCTCTTATGTATGCATTTCTTCAGTTCTATTAGGAGCACCTCCTATGCCCCGACGGTCTGGGGGATACAGAAGTAAACAGTACAGTCTACATCTTCAAGAAACATGAGATCCATGAAGAGACACAGAGACCATGGACAAATGAATAAATGAACCAATGAATGAGTGAAATCTTCTTGGGTAAATGCCCCCAAGGGCTAGCCTTTCGCCCCAGCATAGCACTGGGGCCCAGCACACAGGCTCTGGGGTAGGACAGCCCCAGCTCTCATACGTCCAAGCTGTGTGACCTTGGGCAAATGACCTCACCTCTCTGGGCTATGGCCTCTTCCCCTGTGCAGTGGAGCTGTGGTAGCTTCAGACTCTTTGGGGAGAAGGAGCAGGGGGACCTCGAGGAGGGAGGGCTCAGTGATCAGCATGTGGGTGGGAGAGGCTCCCCTTGGCTGGCGGATCCCCCAGGGAGCTGTGAGTTTGATCTTTTTGTTTTCGTGAAACACACCTGACCAGGTGAATGCCTGTTTTTTTTGATTTCTGGTTTTTTTTAAGAAGGGGAAAAGAAAATGGGGGAAGAGTTGTCTGTGGAGTGAAGGAAGGAAGGTGAGGGGCAGGAGGGACACGGGACAGGGTAACGGTGGCGGGAAGGCCCCTGAGCCCTGCCCGAGTGCAGCTCCTATTCTCAGCTCTCCGACCGACCGCGTTAGTTCATTTAATCCTCACGGAAGCCCAGCGAGGCAGGTGCTGTGATCATCTGCACTTTGCCAACAGGGAAATGAAGCAATCCGCCCTGTGTGACAGAACCTGGGAGGACTGGAATTCCAGGACTGGAATCCTGGCGGCCTGATTCCAGAGCGGTGGGGGCAGGGGGTGGCTGTCTGAGCAGACAAAGCCTGGGTTGAGGAGCTCGCAGCCTTGGGTTGGGGCCCGGAACTGCCACAAACTTGCTGCGGGACCCTGGCCCTCTTCGGACCTTGGTTACCCTACCTGTGCCAGAAAGGGGCTAAGCCCAGCCGTCTTGAACTCCTAGAGGGTCCCCTCTCTTGGCCTCTTCCTGATCCTCACTGGGGCTTAAATGCCCCATCAGTCCCTGTCCCCAGGCCATGGGGATGCAATGCCCAAGGCCTGTCCCTGACTCAGGCCCTGCCTCCTGCCCGGCCTCTGCCAGAACCCTCCTCACTGGCTCACTTCCACTTGAGCCCCTGGGGAAAAGCCAACTCACATGTCACTCTCTTGCTAAAGAACCTTCAGTGGCTCCCTATTGCCCTTCGAATGATCAAATCCCTCAGCCCAGCCCTCAAGTTCTCATAAGCCTACCTCTCCACCGGGACTGCCAGCTGCCTCCCCTAAACTCTTCTGACCAGCCACATGAAAGGGTCCTCCTTCCTTTAGGCTTTTCCCGCTGTTACGCCTTGGCTTCCGCAGCCCCTCTGTGGGTCCACCCCCCTACCCCCAGGCCGAGCAGAGGCTCCTCCTGAATTAGGGGACACAGCTTGGTAATTTGTCTCACCGTTGTGCATTTTGTGCAATTACTCCTGTGCTCCTTGAGGCTGGGGGCAGAGTCTGGCCCTCTTTGTACCCCCTGCACCCCTGCACCCCCTCCCCAGGCTCACGGGGAGGATGGAGCAGTGGTGGGCTCTCAGCCCAAGAAGCCACAGGAGACAAGCCTCAGTGGAGTCCCAGTGTCCTAACAGGGGACTATCAGGCAGCAGAGACTTAGCATCTAGGCCTAAGGGGCCTCCAAACCCAGGCGAACCTGAGAAGCCGGCAACCCCCCCATCCTGCACCCAAAGCATCTCAGAAGACGCCAGCCAGAGGCTTACCTGAGGCCGTTGTTGCCAACGGTGGTTCTGCTGCGAACAGCTGTACCCTGTGCCAATTTCCATGACTGATAGAACTGCATCAGTCAGCAGTGGAAGGAAATCCTCAGCTCACTGCCGACTCCAGGTACTTCTTCCAAGTGGGAGGTTTCCTTGAGACCAAAATTGGTGTGCCCTGGGGTTGGCAGGAGGCGCCTGGCACCGAGCCTGTCTTCTTGGCCTCCAGGAAGCTCAGATCCCTCTGCCTGGCCAGAGGGAAGAGGCACTCTTAGAAGGGAGCTGGGGCTGGGAGATGAGGCTGGGACAGAGACAGGGATGGGGGACCCGAGAGGTGGCCCAGAGGTGGGCTGGAGGTGGGTGAGGTCATCAGAGGCCACTGCAGGTCCCTTGAGCTGGGCTGGCCTGACTCAGCCGGGCTTCAGGCACGCGGTCACATGACAGCTGGGGCAAAGGCCCCGATTTCCAGGACACCGCGGCCAGGCCCCTTCCCTAGCTGTGTGTGGTGGAGGAGGCTTTTCAAATAACGCGACCCTCACAGGGGGCTGCAGGAATTCAGTGCGACGAGAAGCAAGTGCAGTTCTCAGTACAGGGCCCAGGCAGGGGAGGCCCCCATGAGCAGGCGCTGTTAGAACTTCAGTCCTCGTGAGAGCCCCACGAGGCGGGGGCACTGCAGATGCCGCTTCACAGATGAGGCCCAATCCCCCGGAAGTCGAGACTTTCTCCCCAAAGCAGTGGCCCCCGACTGTCCTCTCCACGTGCGCAGCTCTGTGTCAGCCTCTGCCACAGTCTCCTAGCCTCCGTCTCACCCCTCTAGTCCTCCTCTCTCAGCTCGCTCTGCAAGGCTCGGCCCCCAGAACCTTCGGTGGCTCCCCGCTACCTGCAGAACAGAGAACAGCCCCTCCTTTGGTGCTCCAGGAGGCCTTGACATCTGGCCACACCCTCCTTCCAGCTCTCCCCCTCCTTGGTGCCCAGATGTGCCCTCTGCTCTGCCCCTCCTTGCCCTGGTCACTCTGTTCTCTTCATCTGACACTTTGTCCAGTCCCTGCTGAACACCCTCCATTCTCCAGGCACCATCGAGGGCCACCCCCTCCGGGAAGCCTGCTGCATTTCCCAGTCCCAAGGAACCCCCAGCTCCTGGACGTCCGTGACATTTTTCCCACCCTGCCCTTGCAGCTTCTGTACTTACAGGGGATTTGGAGTTGGACCAGCCAAGACTCAGTAAGTCATTCTCCCTCTCTGATCCTCCATTTGCCCATCTGTAAAATGGGACTTGAGACTACCAGCTGCTCCCTTGGCCTGTTGGAAGAATGAAAAGAAGGCACAGATGCAAAATGAGCTTTGTCATCTCCAAGTTCCAGACACGTGGGAGAACCACCCCGGCGTGGTCTCCCCGGTAGCCACCCGCTGTGGCCAAGAGGACTCTGCTTTAGGGGGAGGGAGCACAAGCCTCCCCATTGCCCATGGCCAGTGACAGGTCTGGGGTGGGTGTGCCACCAGGTTCTGGCCAATGAAACGTAAGAGAGAGTCTGCTGAGGGGCTTTTGGGAAAGGTTTTCCTCATGGGGAGAAGAGAAGGACACCTCACTGTTCAGGGGAGGAAGTTGTTGCCCCGTCTCTCCCAGCTGAGGGCACTTGGTAACCAGAGCTGAAGCCGTCATCTGTGTCCATGAGGGAAGCTGTCTCTGACATGCTGAGGAAGGTGTCATCGCCGAGGGTGGGAAGTCAGAAAGTGCTGGGGTCCCTGGGACAGCACTGAGCTACTGAGTCCCCCTGGGATCAGAGCTGAGACCTGAGTGACAAGAGCCAGCCGTGTGGTAATTTAGGGGAAGGGTGTTGCAGGCACAGGGAACAGCCAGTGCAAAGGCCCAGGCAGGAGGGAGCTTGGTGTATTCTGGACCAGTGTGTGTGCGTGTGTGCGCATGTGTGTACACGTGTGTGCGCGTGCATGTGCTTGTGCATGTGTGTACATATGTGTGCGCGTGCGTGTGTGCATGTGCACGTGTGTGTGTGCGCGTGTGTGGCTGGAGCAGGGAGAGTGAGGGGGAGAGTGACAGGGGATGACATCAGGGATATCAGGGGCAGGATGACACAGGACCACACAGGCCACAGCCAGACCTTTAGATTTTATTCATTGTACCCCAACTTTTATTATAAAAATGTCCTAAAATTTGAAACATTTGAAAGAATATAGAATAAACACTCATATATTCCACCTAGGTTCAACCACTAGGTTGTTTGGTTTTTTTATATTTATTTATTTTGGCTGCACTGGGTCTTAGTCGCAGCATGCAAACGCTTAGTTGAAGCTTACATGCGGGATCTAGTTCCCCGACCAGGGATAGAAACCTGGGCTCCCTGCACTGGGAGCACAGAGCCTTACCCACTGGACCACCAGGGAAATCCCACAACCACTGTTAATATCTTGGCATATTTGCCTTATCTTCACATAGGTGTGCTTTTTTCTTTCTTTTTTTTTTTGGCTTGCAGGGTCTTAGTTGTCCAAACAGGGACTGAACCCGGGACACAGCAGTGAATGCTGGGAATTCTAACCACTAGGCCACCGGGGAACTCGCTCCCCTGCCACCCGCCTGCCGCCCGCCACACACACACACACACACACACACACACACACACACACACACACACACTTTCATTTTCCCCTTAGCATTTTTTTTTTTTTTTTTTTTGCGGTACGCGGGCCTCTCGCTGTGGTGGCCCCTCCCGTTGCGGAGCACAGGCTCCGGATGCGCAGGCTCAGTGGCCATGGCTCATGGGCCCAGCCGCTCCGCGGCATGTGGGATCCTCCCGGACCGGGGCACGAACCCGTGTCCCCTGTGTCGGCAGGCAGACTCTCAACCACTGCGCCACCAGGGAAGCCCTCCCCTTAGCATCTGAAGAAAACTTGAGAACTTTATGCCTTCTGACTCCTAAATACTTGATCATATGTCTCCTAAGAGCGAGGATGTTCCTCTGCATAAGTACATTACCATTATTACTACAGAAAATTAAAATGATTCCCTAATTCTCAATCCATTCTCAAGTTGACCCTGAATGTCTCATGTGGCTGGGCCTTCCCTCCTTCCTTCTTTTCTTTCCTGGACCCAGGATCTAATGAAGGATTACATGTCGCACTTGACGACTATGTCAAATTCTTTTAAGCTAGAACAGTCTCCCACCTGTTTCCCCTGACACAGACTTTGTAAAAAGTTTATTCATTCGATTGCCTTATTAAATTGAGGTTTGTCGCACATTCAGTGAACAGATTTTCAGGATGCAGCTTGGTGAATCAGTACACATACAATCACCACCCAGGTCAAGATAGAGAACATTCCCACCCACCCAGAAGGTTCCCTTCACTCTTCCAGGCGATCCCCACCCCGCCCAAGGCAGCCAAGGATCCATCCATCGCCGCAGGCTGGTTCGGGTGTCCTGGAGCTCTGTGGACACGGGGCCAGACAGCGTTCTCGGGCAGGGCTGCTTCTGCTGAGCCTGACACCCGCAGGAAGCGCCAGGATGCAGGAGCCTCAGCTCCGGGCGGAACACACTTTACACACTTTCCTGTTGTCCTGTCGGGGGGCGTTTGGGGTGTGTCTGGGGACACTGAGTATGGGGTCCAGGACAGCTGTAGTGTCTACTGGTTTCCTTGTGGTGTCACCTAATGTGTCCTGATGTCGTATGAAGCAAAACGCATCGAATTCACCAAGTCAAGATTTTGCAGGTAGGGCTGTGCCTCACGTATCACATCCCACCGAGATGCCCAGGATGGCAGGTGGTCCCACCGTCTGTGATCTCAGGTGGGTCAGGTAGTGGCCCCAGAGCTTTCCACTGTTAAGGTAAGTTTTCGTTTTCCTGTCAGGGTCAGTGGAGGGTTTTGAGCAGGAGAGTGACGGGGTCTGATTTACGTTTGTAAAGACCACTTTGAGTTCCATTTGGAAGAGAAGAGACTGCAGGGGGCAAGGACAGAGCATGGAGACCAGTGAGGGGGCTACTGCAACAGTCTAGGCGAGTGAGCAGTGCTACAGCGGTGGTAGTGGAGGGGACGGTTGTGCCTGCAGCCCCTGCGTGGACTGGGCCCTCCTTCAACGTCGGCTGGTCCGGGCTGAGCTTCCAGAGGGCAGAGACTCACGCACCTCTGCATGACCAGCACCCATTGCCCAGTTTGGGGCCTGGCAGAGAGGACATCCTAGTCATACCTGGGTGTGACTGAATTCGGGGAAACTGTGGCTTTTGTTTTTGTTTTTAAGATTTTTTTTGACGTGGACTATTTTTTTTTTAATTTATTTATTGGCTTGTTGGGTCTTTGTTTCTGTGGGAGGTCTTTCTCTAGTTGCAGCAAGCGGGGGCCACTCTTCATCGCAGTGCGTGGGCCTCCCACTATCGCGGCCTCTCTTGTTGCGGAGCACGGGCTCCAGACGCACACTCTCAGTAGTTGTGGCTCACGGGCCTAGTTGCTCCGTGGCATGTGGGATCCTCCCAGACCAGGGCCCGAACCCGTGTCCCTTGCATTGGCAGGCAGATTCTCAACCACTGCACCACCAGGGAAGCCCAATGTGGACTATTTTTAAAGTCTAATATTGTTTCTGTTTCATGTTTTGGTTTTTTGGCTGTGAGGTATGTGGGATCTTAGCTCCCCGACCAAGGATCCGACCCGCACCCCCTGCATTGGAAGGCAAAGTCTTAACCACTGGACTGTCAGGGAAGTCCTGACTTTTGGGGTTTGATGCTGCAAAAAAAACAAAACCAAAACCAAAACCAAAAACCCCAAAAGACAGAACAAGAGTCTGACTTGGTTACCCAGCAGGCCTTGCAGCAGTTCTGATTAATAAGACTTTCAGTCCTCCGCCCCGGACACCAGGGAGGCCTCTCTGCTTTTGAGGAGCTCCATTCACATTGCCCCAGAGGGACAAACAGTGTTGACAACAGTCAGATCTGCCTCCTGGCGACAGAAAGTTCCCAGCTGAGGCCTGGGACAGAGAGCTCTCCCGGCCTCCTCAGGCCTCAGGCTCATGCCTCCCCACCGTGGTCCAGGGTAGGAGGGTCAGGCCCCTGCCTGTCATCTGTACCTGGCAAGTCGTCTCCCGGTGCCCCGGGGGTGGCTCCTGCATGAATCCTTCTGACCCAAGGTTGCCTGTGTCAGTTACTCATCACTGTGTAACACGTTACCCCGAACGACAACAAACATTGCTTACAGCTTGTGTTTTCTGTGGGCCAGGAATTTGGAAGTGGCTTAGCTGGGTGCTCTGGTCTAGGGGGGTGTCTCTCATGAGATCGCTGTCCTCAGAAGGCTTGACTGGGCCTGGAGGCCCTGCTTTCCCAGTGGCCGGCTCACAGGGCCAGCTGTCGGTGCTGCCTGCTGGTGGGAGACCTCAGGCCCTCTGCAATGGCTGCTGCCCTCATGGCAGCTGCCTCCCCGCGAGTAGGACGGAAGCTGCAACGCTGTGTGACTCAACCACGGAAGTCACACACCATCCTTTCTGCAATATCCTATGGGTTACACAGCCCTGCTTGGTGGGAGGGGCTGCACAAGGGTGTGACTATCAGGAGAGAATCTCTGGGACTCACCTTGGAGGCACACGGGCAGTTGATGGCAAGTAACAGGGAAGAACTTCTGTCTATTTGCCCACCCTCCAGTCACCCGGTGTGCCAGGCCCTGTGCAAGGCCTTGGTGTGCAGGGGTGAGGTAAGCAGAGAAAGAACTCCATCCATTCAGAGAGTTCATTAGGTGGGCAAGCCCTGTGGGCCACGCAGGATGAACAAGCTGCCCAACCTGGACAGAGCCTCCTTAGCCAGGGCCTCGCACACCAGCCAAGGCCTCACATACACGGCTGATGTGTCAGGAGTACTGGGACAAAGGGCAAAAGGACCTAGGAGAGAGAGAAAGCTCCCAGCCCTGCAATCAAGGGAGGCCGCAGGAGGAGGTGGTGTTTGAGCTGGTGTGGACATCCAGGAGAACTAGGCAGGTGGGGGACAGTGTCACACAGGGATCAGGGCAGATGTGGGGGCTCAAGCCCATGCCTCCTGAGACACACTCTCCAACTCCTACTTGACACAAAGCAATTGTTCACGTACTGTGTTGTGTGCCATGGCCTGAGCTGGCCACTGGGATCCAGCAGTGGATGAAACAGCCCTCACAGTGCTTCAAAGTATGGTCCTGTGTCAGGGACAGGGTCTGGAGATGCCCTTGAGATCATTACTAGTACTAAAAGTAGCTCTATTCTGGTCAAGCAATGTCCACCCACCATCTGATTGCAGTGGGCACAATCATATCCCCATTTGACAGATGAGGAAACCAAGGTTCAGGGCTGGAAGGCCTGGCCAAGGCCTACTCCCAGGCCTTGTAAGTGCGTGCCCGGGGCCCAGACAGATGTGGGTGCAGCAGCCCTTGGCCTGGCTTTCTGGGGTGCACTGGGCTGCAGGTGCTGCCCCTCCGTCACCACCAGCAGGAGATCTCTGCAGGCCCAGGGCTTCACGACGTGGGAGGAGGGCGTGTGGAGTCGTGTGGCTCAGCCTCTGTGCTCAAGGTCAACCTTACGACCAATTAGTGGGGCCCGAGAGTCACACGGGGAGGGATTTTGGGGGACTGCAGTGGAGCAAAATGTCCCTGGGCGTGACCTCCTTCCACAGGGAGAGCTGCAGAGGCCCTGGGCTACTGGGGGGCTCCTGGGGGTCTGCCCCAGCTTCAGAGCCCCAAGTTCCAGAGCCTCGCACAGATTCTCCCCTCTTCCACCCCCCCCACACTTGCACAGACCACAGTGGTTAAGGCCATCAAGGCTGAATGAGCACCTTGGCGAGGCAGGCATCATGCTGAATGCCATACGGGCATTACTGCACTGAGCCCCCACGGCCCTCCATGCAGGTGTGTCCGCATTTCACAGACAAGGGGACTGAGCTCAGTAAGGTCAAGTCAGTTGCCCAAAGGCACAGGCAACCCAGAGGCAATGCCTGTCAAAATATACCTGCAAAACACCCGCTCTCTCCGTCCTTGCCACCATGCTGGTCCCATCTTCTTGCATCACTCGCCTGGATGAGGCACAGGTGGGACAAAGGATGCTGAGACATCTGGGTACATTGTACAAGTTGAACACACACCTCTGGGCGCCTCTCAGTCTTTGCAAGGGTAACCAAGTCTTGAACTTGGTGTTTCTCGTTCAAATGTATTTTTATTCTTTTACTATTAATACTTATGTATGTATCTACAAATAACATGTACCAAAGGTCGTGTGTGTCTTTAATCTTTCTATAAAGAGGACCACACTCTCTTCTGGAACTTGCCTTTTCTCCCTCCGCAGTGTATTTCTGAGGTTCAGCAAGTTGGTACAGGTAGCTGCAGGACATTGATTCTTCACCGATGTATAGTGGTCCACGGAAAGGCTCTTACTTAAACTGCTGCTCCTGTTTCACTCCCAATGGTTCAGGCAGGTGTGATTCTGGTTCTCATATTACAGATGAGAAAGTAGGCTCAGAGAGATCAAGGAGTTTTTCTGGGATTAGCCAGCTTCTGAGGGGCAGAAACCCCCCTTCTGCGTCCCAAATGATGTGGCTCACAGCCTCCTTTATATTAAGATCTGCAAACAGAACGGGAAGAGACCACGCAGCCGGGCTAGCACTGAGGCTGTCTCAGCCCTTGGGGGGCAGCCAGGAGGGGGCCTTGACATGATGTCCCCTGGGAAGGTAGTCCAGGGACACAACACACAAGTCACAGGGGGACTGCCTGGCTCCATAAGACACCTCCTGCCCGGGTTGCTGAAGAAGCCGGTCCTGAGCCAGACTCCACTCGAAGCCTCAGTTTCCTCAACTGTAATTTGGGGATAATCATGGTACCTGCTCAGAGGGAGGCTTGAACATTGTTTAGAGCATCTGATATTTAATGATCCTGAGGTGCTTCTACTCCAGTTTTGTCCAGATTGATTGACTGATTCATTCATTCATTCAACGAGCATGTGCTAGGCCCCTGCCCTGGGCCAGGTGCTCAGTGCGGCCCTGACGGCCCAGTGTCTATGAGAATGAGGGGTCAGGAGGGCACAGCCGCAAGCCACAGCAGACGGAGCTTTAGCCACGGACCGTGCGCTGGCTGTACGACCCTGGGCCACCCGGCTCTCTCGGCTCCTGTGGGAGAAGGTGTGGGAGGTGCCCTGACCTGCATCTCCCCTCCCCGGTGTGGGCAGAGCACAGCCGGCAAGGGCACCAGGGAGCAGCCTGGAGCCCAGGGCCGCTGGCTGCTGGCGCTGTCCCCACACTGGGAGGGCCCTGGGGCGTAGCACGGACACAGCCGGTGGTCAGCTCACGCACCAGACACGGGGTCACGTCGCCCCAAGGATGGGGCTGAGGAAAACCCCTCCCCTGCCCGTCTCCTCCGCCCTCCGCCTCCCCAGGAGAGGTAGCTGCTTCTCGCGGGGTTTCCACAGCCCGCACCCCACACCCACCCACCAAAACCTTCAGCCCTTGGTGCCTGGCACAGGCCCCGCCCACCCTGCCAGGGGCGGCCGCTGTCAGGGGAGCCTGCCCACCCCCACGTCGTCACTCGGGCAAGAGACACCGGCTTGACACAAGCACAAACCGGGCACAAGAGCCAATTCAGGTCACCCTCAGAGACAGCTCAGGGCTCAGACCACAGCAGGCCCTGCTGGAAATCTTATCTGGGGTGTCACCAAGTGCCAAGCGCCCTGTTGGTCCCTTCCACCCTACCCTGTTGCTTTATCTATTTCAACCTCCATCTTTCTCTGCCTCCCATGTCCCCAGCGGCTTCAGAGTGACCCATCGTGAGGCGATTCAAGGGGCCCACCCTCGAGGGGGATATGGCAGGCTGATGCAAGAGCTTGGTAATTGGGTCAGACAGCCTGGGTCTGATCTTGGCACTGCTACTCTCGGACCAGCATGGTGGTCTGCCCAACAATTCACATTAAATAGGTGGGCTGAGCTTTCTGCCAGAAGTTCCCAGATTTGATTCATGTCAGAGCTGGAAGAAGCCTGGGGGTGAAATCATGTCCCAGATGGGGAAACTGAGGCACAGGGTGAGTCAGGGATTGCCTATGGTCACCCGGCAGAGCTGGGGCGAGTGTCCAGGCCTCCTGCTCTCTGGGTGGCCCTGTTAGCAAGATCGCAGCATCAGCCATTTCTCCAGAGCAGACACACACGTAATCAGCATCTTCTCTGTCTTGCCCTGCCACTGGTCGGGTGGGTACAGGGATTATAACAGCACCAACAGGGGGAGGAGGAGGGCCATGGCCTCTGCTCTGTGCGGCACTGTTCTAGGCACTTCTACCTTGAACTCACTCGATTTCACAGCAGCTCTAGGAAGCAGATGCCACTCTCCCCATTTTACAGATCAGAAAAGTGAGGCACACGGAGACTAATGCCAGGAACTTGGCACCTGGTTGTCCCCAGAGCCCTGCTCAGGAGGGGGATTAGCTCCATTCCTACGAGGAGGGGGCTTGCCTCGCCCAGGGCCACATAGCTAGAACTCCATGCTCCTGGGCCTCAGGCCTTGGGTTTGAGCCGGACAGAAGAGCGGGATGTGTGGTGCCTCTGAGGGTGCAGGCCAGAGAGGGGCTGGGTCGTGGACGTCCCAACCAGGCCCCAGCCTTGGCCTCCAAGGATGGGCGGGGTCACGGAGGCCGAGAGATGGAGGCCCACCTGTGGCACCGCCCCTGACCTCCTCCCCTGGAGGCCTGCGTGTTCTCTTGCCCGAAGACTTCAAGGAGCCTGTTCTTCACCAAGCAGAGCCCTAGGCCCTCGGCGACCAGCCCCTCCTGCAAGCCTTGGGTTTGACTGCTGTTTCAAGGTTCTGCTGCTCTTTCTGGGTTTAGCTGCTGTGGGAGCTGGAGAGAAGGAGAGGGGGTCCCAGACTCCAGAAGCCCCGTGGATGGCCCACCCGAGTCAGTGGCAGTGGGAGGCACTCCTTACCCGCTCGCACCTGCTGAGTGATCTCGGGCTGGACTCAGAGGCCTCAGTTGTCCCGGCTGTTGGACAAGGTGGTCTCTGAGATGTTTCCAGCTGCCTATTTTCTGTATTTGGGATGCTTGAATGTCTGGGAGGGAAAGAGCCATTGATGTATGCCTCATTTATCTCAGAGACAGAGAGAGAGGGGGGCAGACACAGCCGGGACAAAAGTAGAACAGAGGAGGCACACAGGTAGAGGCGTGGAGTTGGGGGTGAGAGAAATCAGAGTTTGGAGAGGGGGGCACGAGTGAACCCGGCCAGGCCTGCCGGCCGTGAATGCCGGTGAATGGGTGAATGCCCGGTGAATGGGTGAATGCCCTCCCCGAGAGCAGACACAGGGCCCCTAACCCAGGGGCAGCTGGAGGCAGCCCGGCCTGCCAGGCCCTCTTCCCTGCCCACCACATCCGGC